TTTTTATCACGCGAAAATATTTTTTCCTGTACCCCCCTTCAGGACTTTTTCGTCTCAAGGGGGGAGGGGCCCGGGCCCCCCCTGCGTACGCCACTGGTTTAAAGGTATCCAATACATGTGCAAGTGATGAGTATTTATTCTAAATAAAAGACCTTCACAGTATAATTTATCTTTCAACGAAGAGAATTTCTTTTCATTGCATATATGGTCATCTGATAGATTACTAGAAAGAAAAATTCTGTGATTTATGCAATAAATTATTCTTTCTATTCCAACATAATAATAATTCATGATATGAAGAGAAGAGAATACTCATTGACAGAATGATTTATTTCTATCAATCGTTAAATAACTATTACATTTGGAACAGAGAGTATAATTCAATTGATGGAAGAGAAGAATTATGGTTGAAAACAATGACTTCCTAAACGATTAGAGACGATTTTTTTTTCTTTTGTTTGAAAGAGAAATTCACAAGTGATTAATTTGTTTATTCATATATACACAAATATTTATATCACTTAATTAATTGATATAACAGAAAAAAAACATTAGTAAAATAAATAATATCATTAACATGAAACGAAGTATGAATGGACGAAGCATATGACATATGATCAAATAATTTCAATGTCACTATTGTGTATCGGTTGTTTGAGAAAAAAAATCAGTTGAAGTTCAACAATGAATTTCATTAAGAAAAGTGTTAAAGAATAAGCATATTAATTTGTTTTTTTTTGTTTATTATCGAAATTTTAGAGCTTCAAAATTGAATTAAAATTCTTCGTTTGTCTTTGAAATTTGCTTTTTTGAATCGAAATGAAAGTTTATGAGTATCATCTAATCAAAATAACTTGAACAATTTCTAGCTTCATGTTTGAAAAAAAAGAATCTGTGGTTTTTCAAAACTTTCTAATGTCTTCTTCAAGTAAATCAATTTCTAATAACTAATAATAGAAACTTCTCAAATGTGCCTCCGAAATTTTTCCAATAGGTCATGCATTTCTTAAATTAAATATTCAGAAAAAATATTTGCTGTTGAGATTTCTTGACAAAGCTATCGCTATTTAAAACGTTCCAGTAACACTTGTGACTATTCTAAGTAATTCCTATTCATTCGAAAAATTTCATATCTTCGATTTCATTCTCATCATAAATATTATTTTTTTTTGTTCATTATTCTCACGTGAAATCCTATGTTTTTTTGAGATATTTTCCGTCTTGAGTTTTCAATTTATTTTATGACCATATTAATACACAAATCAGTTCTTCGTTCAATCGAACATTAATACAAAAAAACTTCAAAATAATATTTTGTATAAATACAAAATATTACAATATGTTGTTTTTGTTTATGTCGTCAAATTTGCCCAATAATTAACATTACAAATAATAATCATTCGTCCATGACCAATAAAAACAACAAAAAATATTTGTTAATATGCTACATCAATATGGTATATATCATCTATTTTATTTTCAATAGATATCTTTAAAATTAATCTAATTTAAAACTTGTATAACAATTTGTTCAATATCATTATTAAAATTTTAATATGATTAGTTGCAATGAATTGTTTTCAATAATGACTTCATAATTCATTATCAACTAAATTACAAATATTTAATTAAGAAATAAAATTAGAAAAGTAAACAAAGAAGTATTCTTTATTAGATTCATTCATTCTAATGAATGTAACATTAAGTTCAGTTTGATGTGACCTAAATGATGTTTTGCATTAAGATTTTTTTTCTTTTGATTTTAAACGATTAGATAAACTATATATAACCCTATTCTTAACTTTCTTTCATATCAAATATTAGTATTTAAATATAAGGTTTTTAATTATTATTACATGATCATTTTGTATACGATATATTTTTAGTTGAATAAATAAATCAAAATTATTTTCATGAAATGAGAACTATTAAAGATTTTATTTGTTGGTTGATCGATAATATGTTCAAATAATTCTTCTGAAAGATAACTATAGTACATATTTGAGTGATCTTTTAAATTGATTGAAATCAACATTGATGAAGCAAAAAAAAAAAGTAAAAGTTAATGTAGTTCTTCGAGAATTATTTTTTATTTTATTTTCTTCTCGATGTAAGCATAAAAATTTGTCATTTTCATTTGTGATAATCTCAAGAAACGAAAGTCAGGAAGCATTATCAGAATGAAATCTTATAATCGAATTGATAGCATAGATATTCTGATTTTTAAAATAAAGTTCGATTATCTTACAAAAATCGATCTACAAAAGCAAATTTTTGTGAATTTTTTTTTCTTTTTAATTTTGAGATTATTAAAATAATAAAATCTTGTTTACATATGTTAATAGAATTCTCTTAGTAATGAATTTCACAATGACTATATCAAAATTTCTTTCTCACTTCGATCAGTCGAAACATAACTCTTCCGATTAACAATAACAAAACAGAAACTCTGCTTTAAGTATAGCATGATTATTTTTTAGAGAAAAGTATTTCATATTCAATCGTTTAAATAATTATTCGTCTCTTTTTAGTAACTATCAATTTCTTCATCAAACAACATTAGAAGCTTCGAACTGCATTTTTCATTATCTCGTAGGAAAAATAGAATTTCTACTTCAATATTTTCATTTTCTGATGCGAATTAAGAATAAACAACATTTGAACAAAAACTGTATGATTCTATGGGCTTTAGACCATCTTAACACAAAAGAGTAATTTTGAATTATACGTCGTAAAAAAAAATTGTGATCAACTATTACATTGTGCTTCACATCGCTAATAATAATTGTGATTCATTCTATTATTTTTTTAATACTTGATTTTTTTCCCTTCTATTGTCCAATGTAACATTGATTGTATGAAGTACAAAGGATAAAACTGTATTTTTCATTTATCTTATTTATTTATAATCGATATAGAGACCATGCAAGGCTTTATAACCATTCGGAGAAAATGTTTCACAAGAGTGATCAAGTTGAAAAAAATCTTCCTACCTTTACTAAACAATAATGGATTATTTTTAATTAATCAGTATATAAACACGACATTCTCCTGTCTGTTGTAGCTCGTGAGTCGATATGTATTGTTTGATAAACACAAAAATAGAATTTTTTTTCCCGTAATATATGATTTCGGCGAAATTTGTTGTTATACATTTTACTGATATAAATAGACTGTACAAAAACACTGTGTTTTATATTCATCTTTAGGAATGATAATTAAATTGTCTGATAATGAAAATTAAAATTTCGATTTTTAGACACTGTTGATTTTGAAACAAAAGATTTCTGAATAATGTATATCATTAAGTGAGTGAATGAGATAGAGAACATACTAACACTTTAAAATAGTTGAAATGACTTGATATTACTATAATATTAAACAATCATCTATTTCTATTACGAAGTATGGTGTTGGAAAATTGAAAATCTTATATTTTATATTAAATCTGTATATGTATAAAATTCAAGTCAAACAACAATCATGTATTGTATGATGGAACTAAAATCTTATCAGTTTCGTATTAATTTAGTTCAAGGTCAAAATGCAGTTATTATCAAAGTCATGATATTACAAAATAAAGTAAACCTCACAATTCATATCAACAAGTATTTTTTTTTTGCTTGTAGGATTCAATTGAAATTTAGTGTTTCTTTGTTATTTTCAAAAGAAACTGTTCGTTTTATAATCAATTTTTTTAAATTTATTTACCTTGTCTAAATAAACAAAAAAAATGATGCAATTAAAAACTCATTAAATAAAAACAAAAATATGCGACTGTTCTATATTTAGCTTCTAATATGATTGAAACTAACATATACAAGGAGAAGCACATGGTTAAGGAATATGGTTTTGAGCATGTTATGGATGAATGCACAATTATCCATGAATAGCAATTCATAGGGTAATCCAAAGAAGAGAAAAAGAAAGGCGTCACAGAGTAACCAATAATTTAATACTTTAATAATTTCGTAAGCAAGGTTTAGGGTTGATCAAAAAACACAAAAATATTCTTCACCTGTAGATAGTGGTATAATAATATTGCTATCGACGCATTTTCTTTTTATTTCTCTTTTTTACTGTATTGTCTTTAAATGTTTGTCATCGATAAACAACAATGATAATCGAAAAACAAAACAAAAATGAGAGAAATAAAATCCACATGTCCATGTGTAAAACAACTAAACCTCAAAACTATTTAGAAAACAATAGAAAATGGATAAGGTGAAGGAGAAAAAGGGCAACATCTATTTTCTTCTCATTAAATAAATCGACAAAATTAATGGGAAATATGAAGAAGAAAAAGAAACGTGTCGTTGGCTTGCTTGAATGCGTCTAACCAAATTGACGGGTATTTAAATCAGTATCGATTAGTGGTTTTCGTTATAACAATCATTTCTATATCAATACCTTACTATCTATACTAGTAGAAAGAATACAGCAGGATGGCTGCTGCTGATGCTTTATTCACTCAGTCTGATCTAAATGACTTTCGATATCTTACCGGTGCTGGTGGTCTTTCATATGGTGCATCTAGCTACGGTTTTGATGATATAAGCACATTAGGAGTTGATGACGGTCTTTGGTATGGTGGATCAGGCTATGGTGCTGATGATTGGAGCACAGTAGGAGTTGGTGGTGGTTATGGTTTATCATCAACATTAGGTACTGGTTATGGAGGTGATGTTATTTATGCTGGAACTGGACTTGGCGGTGCTGGTTATAATTCATCATTGTACAATTCATCACTTGGTTATGCTGGTAGTGGCTTAGCAACGTTCGGAGGTGAGTTGAACTTATAGATTTTGATTTAGTTTCAGTCAATTACACATCTGTATTACAATTAATAGGTTATCAACATTATGCAACTGATGCTCAAGGTATTTATCAAGATCCAAATCCACATATTATACGTCGTCCAGCACCAGGTGGTGGTGTAACTTATACACAAAACGTTCGAGTTCGATATCTTCAACCACCACCTGTTCCAGCACCCGGTGTAAGTTTTCCTTTTTTAATTTATTTATTTTATCCATTATTTCACCATGTTATTTCTATTCTAGCCACTCATCATTAGAGAAGTACGACCACCTCAACCACCACCACCACCTCCACTTCGTGTTCGTCAACAAGCTCGACCTTTTCCTCTACGACCTCCACTTGTCTTACGTGAACGACCACCAGTTCCACCAGTTCCTATTGCTTCACAAACTGGTAAAACAAAATAGAAAATTTTTTTCAATTTCTTGCATTTATGTTGAATTTTTTCTCTAGTTATTCGACGATTGCCTGCTCTTCCTATTCCACCTCGATCAGTAATTGTCGAACGTTTACCACCATTTCCACCTAAACCTCGTATGTCTCTATATTTTTTTTTTATGATATCTTTGTTAATCAACTAATTATGATTAGGTAATATTATCATTGAACGATGGATTTCATATGGACCTCGATCTAAACGAAAAACAATTCTTCAACGTGCACCAGCAGCTCGACCATATCCAAGACCACGCAATATTATCATTCAATATGAAACTCCTCAAGTACGTGTTGTTCGACAATTTCAAAATCTTGGTGTTGTTCAAGCAGATCCTCAATTGTATGTCCAACGCTATGGATTATCGCTTTTGGATAGTCAATTCTTACTACAACAAGCACGTGAGGCTGGTGTTATAGAAGATATTGTATGTTATTTAATATTATAATTTCTGTTTAAGTAAATAATTTTTTTTTTATCTATTTAGTCACCACCTATTTTAGGTGGTGCATTTTCTGCTGGCTCATCTCAAGTTTTTTCGTCAAGTGGTAGTCTTGGTTATGATATTACCAATACTTTTGGAGGTTATGGAGGTTATGAAAGTTATGGAGGTTATGGAAGTTATGGAGGTTTTGATGCTGGAACAATTGGATTTAGTGGTATTGGACCCTATCAATCGCCATATTACACAGATATTACTGATATTTCAACAGTTGGTGCTGACTTAGGAACGGCTGGTATTTTTGGAACTAATCTTGGTGATACTAGTTCGTATGAGTCATCATCATTCAACGTAGTAAATGATGTAACACCCGGCAGTACAACACTTACCAATAAAACAGTCGGCGGTACAACACTCGGTAATACAACAGTTGGCGGTGCAACATTAGGTGGCACAAAACTTGATAGTACAACATCTATCGGTGCAACACTCGGTGGTGTAACAGTTGAAGGTGCAAGATCCAGCAATACAGCAGAAACGGCAAGTCTATCAGGTGCTGCTTCTGAGGTCAAACGTGATGCTGTTTCACCTCAAAGTGAAAGTCAAAGTTCGAGACTTTAAAGTAATATAATTATTTTATTTATTTTTTGTTCTTTTTATACTATGTACATTATTTAGGAAGCTACAATCGATATTGGTGAAGTGACATGTAACAAAACAAGGTTTTTTCTTTGAACAAAAATACAATGTCACAATGTATCCAATTCATTTGTTCTTCTTTTTATTTTCTTGAATATGAAGACTATAATTCATTTTGCTATAGATTTATAAAAAAATTTTAATTTCTTTTCATAGTTTTGTGGTAATATATAAGGTACAAGTTAAATAAAAATAAATTATTCTATTTTGCAAATTGATATAAATCATCATCAAAATAATTATGATTCTAATTAGTGTACCTTTTTATTTATTGAAGCAAGGAAAAAAGCACAATAAGAAATTAAATGATAACACCTAACACAATATTTCCTTATGCATACGTATATCAAAAATAAAAAGCAAGCAATGCAGCAAATGAATAAATAATTGATATAAAAAAGTTATAATCAAACAAAACGAGCAAATGAAGCAGAACGAACGTTTATGGTGTAAAAAATTATTTAAAAAAAAAGATGCGAAGAAAGAAGTAGAAATTGTTGTCCTTATTATATGAATTCATTCGAATTCATATATATTCTTCTTTATAATATTTGAAAATAATTATTAATTAATAAATTATGTTATTCTCTAAAATAAAAATATTATAACAAATGAAATTTCTATGAGAAAATTTTAATTCATTTACTAGTATTTAAGTTGAGAACTAAGAAATTGCCGAAATTCATTAACATCGAGTGTTCCATCCTTATTAATATCTGCAGCTCGAAACGCAGCAGCAACTGAATCCATACTGTTAATTTGAATATTACCAGATGAACCATTATAACCTTCGTATTCTGATGCACCGGCACCACCATATGCCATATTACCACCTTGAAATGCTGTTGAACCTGTTTCATATGATGATGAAAAATCTTGAGCAAGACCAGCGCCTTGTGTTGCTTCCAAACCTGAAAAACTAGCACTTCCTTGTAGACCACCATTATAACCAAATGATTCAAAAGATGATGCCGAACCACCCAAATCACCACTCATTGTTTCGAATCCAGAGCCGCCTATACCAGCAAATCCTGCATTAAATGATGTTGAACTTCCTTGACTAGTGGCAAAATTACCTGGTGGAGACTAACAATTATTAAGAAAAAGAAACGAACAGATTTAAAGAAGAATTCTATAATGAAATATAATATCATCTTACAATATCTTCAATAACACCAGCAGTACGTGCTTGTTGTATTAACGATTGAGCATCCAAAAGTAATGCACCATATTGTTGAACATAGACTTGTGGATTTCCTTGAATAATACCAAGACGTTGAAATTGTCGAATAACACGTACTTGAGCAGGTTCATATTGAATGATGACATTGCGTGGGCTTGGATATGGTTGAGCTGCTGGTGCACGTTGAACAATTGTTTTTCGTTTAGGTTGAGGTCCATATGGAACCCATCGTTCAATGATAATATCACCTAAACATAATTAGTTGTTTAATAAAGATATTAAGAAAAAATAATAAACGATAGAGACATACGAGGTTTAGGTGGAGCTGCTGGTAAACGTTCGATAATTACTGATCGAGGTGGAACAGGAATGGCAGCCAATTGTCGAAGAACTAGAGAGAAAATTCATAATGAATATAAGAAATTGAAAAAAACTTTGTTTTTTTTTTTTTAGTTCTTCACTACCAGTTTGAGAAGCAATAGGAGCTGGTGGAATTGGTGGTCGTTCACGTAAGATAAGTGGAGGTGGTGGAGGAAGAGGTGGAGCGTGTTGACGAATACGAAGTGGAGGTGGTAGTGGTGGTTGTGGTGGTCGCACTTCTTTGATGATAAGTGGCTATAATAGAAAATATCATTGTGAAATAATAGATTAACTAAAAAACACAAAAAGGAAAACTTACGCCTGGTGGTGGAATAGGTGGTGGTTGAAGGAATCGAAGTCGAATATTTTGTGTGTAAGTTACACTACCACCTGGTGCTGGACGACGTACAATTTGTGGATTTGGATCTTGATAGACATTTTGAGAATTACTAGTAGCTACTTGATATTGTTGTTGTGAAGTACTTGTCTCGAGTGTTGATGGAATAGAAAATCCTGCTGAACCTGACGATCCGTTTGCATCAAATCCATAACTAGCAGAACCTGCTAATGCACTTGCATCGAAACCATTGGCACCAACACCAGCTGCTGATGTATATGCTGATAGATCATATGAACCATAGCTTGATTCACCACTGGCGGCAGCACCTGCACCATTTATGGTTGCTCCTACTAATTCAGGACCATTACCATAACCGCCATTTGCATTACCATACATAGCTGATGATAACGAATCATAAGAGCCTGATGAATATTGACCATTGTCATTGGCGGTTGCTCCATAATTCGTCGAGCCAAAACCTAAATTTCGTGCAATAAGTTGACGAAATTCATTTAAATCAAGTCGTTGATCTCTATTAATATCTATTCAATAGAAAATAAAGTAAATCTATCGGAACGAAAAAGAAAAAACGACAACAAATTAATACCAGCTTGATTAAACAACTCATCAGCCATAGTAATGCGAATATGTTACCAAGGGCAATATTCAATAAAACAAGTATAAGTGAAACTTGTTTGCTTCTCGTTTTAAATACCATGATTGAAATCAATGAAGCAAACCATATACGACAAGGGCATGCTTCGTCTATTATCACCTTTTCATATATAAAGATATTTTCATGACAACTCTTTTACATTCGTATTTTTACCTGTCCCATTTATCATTCATTTTTCTACCACAACTATCGTATCAACGAAGAAAAAAGTCAATCGTTTGCAAATATGTCTGTCGCTCCTATAACGATGGTAGTCACAACTTACTTCAAATAGTCTAAAACTATCACTATTAGATAGGTTACTAATTATAAGGTAAACCTTAATGAGCATTTTGTTGTGATTCGTCACAGACATGCAATAATGACAGAAATGTATGTTTAGAAAGACATCAATTTATCACAGCTTCCATGCTTATTAGAGACTCTGTTTATTTTGATGATTGTAAGTTTATACATAAGAAAAAAGAAATATATATTTGAAAGTGAACTTAGTTAATTTATTATACAATTATATGACAAAAGAATGAAAACGTTTAAAAATGCGCCTATGAAAAAATATTCAAATAAAAACTCAATGAATCGAATTCGTTCTAATTTTTTTCATATTAATAATTGTCTATGTCATATTCAATAGAAGAACGTACGCAAAATATGCGTAGTCAACCAAAATCATTAATTGTTAATACTAATGATGGTATTGGTTTAGGATTGAATTCAAAAAAATTTACATTTACAGTTGAAGATTATATTTATCGAGCACGTTTAGCTGAAAAAGCTTTACGTTATGAAGATATGTTAATACAAATGAGAAATGTACTTGATTTAAAAAAGAAATTAACTGCTGACGAAAGAAATTTACTTGTTGTTGCTTATAAAAATGCTGTTACAACACGAAGGACAGGTGTGTGTGTGTGAATGTATTTGAAAACATACATAAATCATTCGGTTATTTCCCTCATAGCTATTCGACATCTTTCAGTTTATTGTAAAAAACTTGATGAAGCAAAATTAACACAAGTAAAAAAAAAAATGGAATAAATTGAGAAAAATATGTTTTTTTTTTTTGTTTATAAGATTTGCGAACAATATCGAGAAGAAATTGCTAATGAATTATGGAATTTATGTCAAGAATTGCTTAGTAATAAATATTAAATAGAGATCATCAAATATTGATTTTTATATCTATTTAAATTTTAGCTATTGTAAAAGATATTCTTACACCAAATGCTCGTAATGATGCGGAACAAATAGCATTTTATGAACGTATGAAAGGTGATTTTATACGATATGAAATTGAAATAGCATCATCAAATCTTAAAGAATCATTACAAAATGAAGCTAATCATTGTTATTTAAATGCTAAAGAATTAGCAGAAAATAATTTACCTGCATATCATCCTGTACGTGTTGGTATCATGCTTAATTATTCAGTTTTTTGTTTTAATTCTAAATCTAAAGCTGATAATGCTTTGAAAATAGCTAAACAAGCATACGAAGTAAATAAATCATCATTAATAAAAATTAAATGAAAATCAATCTATTTTTCCTTAATTAGGAAGCTTTAGCTGATTACGATCAATTACATAATGAAGAAATGCGTCGTGATGCTCATGCACTTATGAAATCTCTTCAAAATAATATGAAACATTTTGCTAAAGGTCCTGGTAATGAAATTGAAGAAATATAATTTTTTTTTTAAATTTCAATTATATTATTTCATCCTTCTTTTTTTGTTCATATGTATGATATTCTGTTTCATGTAGTTTATTTTTTCTTTTAGTAGACGTTTAATATAATCCTTCATTGTAATGGCTTGTTCTTTTCTTTTTTGTGTTCAAAACTATGTAATTCGAACTCGATATTAAACGAAAAAAAAAAGAATAGTATATGAGTTCAATTCCAATATCATAAGTAGAAAGAAAGTTTTAATGAACCTTATCACAATGTTCTCAATCATAATTCATGCAAGTTTGTCGAGGACATTTTTTTAATACATCAAAATATCAATTTAATTATTTTAAAAACATTTAAATATGCATTTTTAATGCTTTAGAAATCGTATGTTTCATTTTATGCTTGTCTCACACTGAATAATCATATGAAAAAAAAATATTTATCTCAATTCTATTTTCATTATTATTAAGACAAAATTGAATATTCATTTCAATACAAAGACAATATCTTATTGTACGGAAATATCCTATAAGTAGAACTACCATATGTATCGTATTTGCGTACATTTTTCTTTTCTTTCTTGGATGCAACAAAACGCATATTATTAGGAAATATCAACAATCTGTATTTTACCGACCAATATTATTATTAAACTATAAAATAAACAAATAGTACACTATCGTATTTTTGTTTAAATCAAGTTCTTCATTGAAAATCATTCTGAATATTGATAAATTAGTCAAATATGAAACCGGAACATTTTTATATCACTTATAAGTCAAGCTGACTGGTAGCTAAGCAGAAAATAAAGATATAACTGTGTTTCTAATGAGACATAACCAATTCGTACGGGTATTTAATGTTTATTCCATTAGAATATATGAGAGTGCTAAATCAGTTAAGATACCGGCTGTTATTTTTTTTTCTTCTCTAGCCTTATTCGCATTTTAAAAAAGTTTGATTTTTTTTTATATTAGCTATATAGTAACTGTATTATACTGATTGCTTATCTTTGTTCGAATTGTATCTTTTGTAAATAAAATCACTTGTCAACGGACTTTTCAAAATTGTTTACTCAAAGACACATCTATAATTAAAAGATTTCAACCAACAAATCTTGTTATTGACAAGAAATAGAGCTAAAAAAAACAAATGATTAGCATTATATTTGTACTTTATCTGATATAAAAATAAGATTTTTCTGATATACGATTGAGGCTATAGGAGGAAAAAAAAATAACTTGTGGAATTCTATCTGATTGGGACACTCCCATGTACATATGTATATCTCATGTCTTAAGGCAGAATTCTGTTGAATAATGATTTACTTCTAATCTTAGTTTTTACAGGAAAACTATAAATGTTAAGTATTACATAAGACGATAGAAATTTCTCATATATTCGAAATATTAATATTTTTATTTTCATCAGATTCTTTGAACTAGATGATCTATGATTTAATTTTAAATATGAAATAAAGATTGTAAAACATCTCTTTTTTCTTCAAATCTTTTGATTAGTGTATAAAAAAAGACTTGATAATAAAAACAAAACAAAAAAAAGGTCCGTATAATTAACTCTGTATGCCATAACATTCAGAATATGTGTGTACATGAACGAGCACGAAGAACACACAGGGTTAATTTTTAATCGGAAATCAAATGAAAAATGTTATGTGTATATAAGGTGCAGTTCAGTGTTGATGATGCTGAAGGTTGAGAAGAATAGATCTCAATTGTCAAAAAAGAGAACTTGAATAAAAAGAAAAAGAAATCGAGATAAGTACTATCCATCGAATGATGAGAAAATAAGCAAAATGTTAATGTAATCAAAAGAATGAATATATATATATATAGACTTTTCTCTTTTCTTCTCTTTTTTTTTTCTCTAGATACCTGGTCAATGCACAGACACACACAGATGATGATGATGGTGATGCAATGAAGATGACATTGAAAAGTGAGTGAAGCATTTTATAACAACGTTAAAGTAAAAGAAAAAAAATATTTTGATTATACTATAAGAAGCATGTATCTTTTTTATGTCACTTCACCTTCAATATATTTATCAATTATCTTCAAATAAAATGTTAACAGATTTTTCTTCTTATCTATTATACCATCAGAATAATTAATCATGTCTAACGTATGTTTTCTTTCAAATATTATGAAAAAAGTCAAGAAATGACACTAATAATGGTAATAATAATAATAATAACAATATTATCTTTGTCTCTATTCCAATTATGTTAACTGACTTATTAACATTGTACATTTATAAAGTACTAAAGACAGACGAATGTGTTTATTTTTTGCATATCATTTGTCTTCATTAACAATCACACAAGTTATAACGACATGTTTGTTCAGTATATCGTACTTTTGATCAATGAAGATCGATTGAAAATCAACAATGAATAGGTACTTGTTTAAAAAGAAAAACTTCTTTTCTTTTTTTATTCTTTACATTATTAAGAATTATTTCTATTTAAACAATTGGTGACTTAATTTTAATTGTTCATATACATACGCATGGGTGTGCATGAAGATATATCTATAGAAAAAGGAAGCATTTGTATACGCCTTTTTTTTAGCTATGACTTTCCGGTTGCTTGATTGAACAATTACAATCTACAGTGTTAACCGATGAAAAAAAATCAAGTGGCTTCGTTCTCTTTTCTTTTATATATATATATATATATTTAGACTGACAGACGATTAAGATCTTTTCTGTTCAAGACATGAAGTCAAAAAAAGAGGATACTCGAATTTTAATAGAATTTGTAAGTATCACTAGGTTATATATGAATCCTAAATTGAATTTGTCTCTATTGAGCATAAAAAGAAAGAAAGAACAAGAAAAGACAATCAGTTATGAGGTAAATTGATTATCTATTTTCCTCTTGGTTTTTTTTTTGTTCTCATTGTCAAGCACCTGTCTGAAGATGACCTCATTTATATTATTGCGTATTTGCTTTCCATTTCTTGTCTCTCTCTCTCTGTCTCGTGTTCTCTCTTTTATTTTATCCATATAATCGATGACTAGTTCCAATGAACGTAAAAGCAAATTTCGCTCATTCAGATCATCGGAAATCGTCTCACGATGATTTATTCTCGCAGGAGAGAGACAAGACAGAGAAGAACAAAAAGAAAAAGAAAGAAACACCAGAACGGACGTAAAAGAAAGAAAATTTGTTTAGTAAGCCGAAAATCTCTTGAGTGTTCTTTCTTCTCATTGATCAAACTCTTTGTTCTTCAACATCGGTCTTCGATCGATTGGCATGCTGCCTGGTGTAATTGTTTCTTTTTTGTAGAGGTAAACGATATAGATCTAAACAATAATCTCAGTATAGAGCTATAGATAGACAGACAACAGGAAAAAGAAAATAATAACATATCTATATCTAACTGTCCCGAGGTAATCGATGCATACTATATCGACCTTGTTATAGTATCTCATGTTTCATTCGTAAGAATCATTCGGAACGATCTGCAGCTGTGCCAGCTGGCCTGTGTATGTTTTTTACGAGTCTAATGGCTTTCATTTTTACAACTTTTGTTTGATGATCGTTTTTGTTGTAACATACATATGAAACAAAAAAAAAAAAGGAAAAGAAAAAATGGAAGAGAGAGTGTGTATGTATATATGTGAGAGAGAGAGAGAGACAGATAGACAAAAAGGCAAAAAAGAAAAGAGTTACAAAAAAGTTTCATAATCTTATTGACGCTTGCGGCCATCATTTGACTTCTTCTGTCTATATGTGTGTGTGTCAAAAGAAATCATTATGGGACTTGAGCCGTTTCGTCAATATTAGAACTTGCTTTCTAGCCAGCCACTTCCTGCTTGATGTATTCTGTGCAACACAAGTGTGTATGTGTGTGTAGGAGAGTGTGTGTGGCGATAATTGTTTTCTTGCACGCAATACAAATCTCTCGTCTGATCAAGTTTTGAGTTGTTCTCTTCCTTCTTTCGTTCTGATGATTTATCTTACTATTTCTATCAACGAGTGAGCGAGTAAATGAACAATCGACGGTAAAGGATTAATGTTAGTGCTACTGTTTTTGTCGATTTGTTATTTTTGCTCACTTCGCTGACTATATATTTATAGAATAGTGTACTTTTGCATTCAATCTTTTGCACTGATGACTAGAATACTGTCGATGATCCTGAACAGGCATCATTAGTTACTGTATGATAAGAAGAGAATAAGGAAGAGACATTGATCTGTTTGTACAAGAGCTCAAGAGAAAAAGTATAACGAAGGACATATCTTTCTGTAATATAACTTGACAACAATGGTGAGGTTATAGCCGGGAGAGACATAGCCAAAGAAAGGGAGAGCGAGAGAGAGAGACAGGCAGACAGAGGGAACACTAAGAGGGAATTGGCAAGTCACTCGATTAATCGGGTATAGTACATATATGTAAAGTCAATAAGGGACATAGAGAATAGTCGATATGAATTGTTTCATGCGTCATAGGTGCTTATTATTTTTGTTTGATAATCGAAAACTCTCTTCTTACTATGTGAGATATGCTATGATTAGTGACACTACTTACTTAATACGTCTAATAATTTACTTGTATAGATCTATCGATTCTTTTCTCTTCTTTATTCAATCTTCTTTTTATCATCATGTCAACATTTCAAAGTGTCTATATCATAGTTTTTCATTTCGACACGTTCATCAAACAACATCATTTACTAATCGACTCCTGCTGATCTTACTTCATTTTCTATTTCCCATCACGACATGATAATATTAAGCATATTAATTTAAAAATAATGAACTATGTTATTGTATTGAAAAAGAGAAAATGCTACCTCGTTGATATATATATTGGTTCGTTATACAATACATCTCAACAGTATGTATAAGTCAATATAAAGAAAGAAAAATATAATAAAGATTTTAAATTGACATTCACCATATATATATACACATATATTCGTTTATATTATCATCGTATACATATATTCTAATTGTCATCAAAAAAAGAATATGTCATATATGATGACATCATCTGTCCCTAATTGATAATCTTGATTTTTGGGACGACATTATAACTGTTTTGTTATGTGCTTATGACCTTTACCTATTTACAAAGAATTTTTTTGTTTTGTTTTTTCTTGGGTATTTTTTTCGCTTCTAGATAATCACTTCTCTATATTAGTATAACGACGACTATGTCTTTCCTATCATTGTCGTCAATAATATCATCACATGCATACAATTGAACATTTAAAACGACTTATTTTTATTCTTATTTTATTTATTATTCAAATAAATATGATATTAACTGATAATCAAGAAGATAATAATCGTTTGGAAACAATCTATCGATTAGAAAATAGTCATGTTAGTTTAACATGTGATTTAACGGATGTTGCTTGGTGGAAACGACCAAATATATTGGCAACAAGATATGGTATTATTTTACCAAAATATCGTTCAAAAATGATCTTAGATAAACTTGATGATGGAACTACAACAAGTGGAATACAATTACATGTATTAAATATTCGACATCTTCAATCAGACGATTCAGGAATTTATGAATGTGAAACATTAGGAGCTATTCGACAATTTAATTTAACTGTAACAGGTATAATTATATTATATTACATGTTTATATTAATTTTTGAGATTCAGAATAATCTCATTTTTCATGAGATTTGATAAGTTTTTTTTTTTTTCTATTGATCTTATGTTCAAAGTTCTGTAAAATAAGAAGGACATTTACGCTTTTCATTCCAGCTGTTACTTATCCTTGATTTTTATCGCTAAAGCTAAATTCTTAATTGAGAGATAAATGAACGTGAATCTTTCTTTATATGATGACATTTAAAATGAATATGTTATTATTCTATAGTGATCTTTCTACAACAGATTCTGTTTAATAACTTTTCGTTAAAAAGAAATGGCATGTTCATATTCTTCCGTTTCATTTACAAAATTTCTTGCCGATTTAAAATTAAATATCATACAGTGGCGAATCTAAGATTCCACGAAAGGAATAGGCAGTCATAGTTATAAAACATGTTTTGAAGTTTATTAAGATCATATCAAATCATTTTTCGGTTAAGAAAAATCGAAAAGTATTTCGGTTAAGAGGATCAATTGTTTCCAGCGCCCTCTATAAATCAATCATTGATATGAATGAATATTTTCTATTGTCTATTTGTTTTCAACCATAATTACATTATTTTCATTTAACTTTGAAGTCGCTTTTATATTCTTTGATCTTATTAAATAATAAAATTTAATATTTGTTGTTAATTAAGATATCTAAAACAAATAGAACTGTCAATATTGGGAATTGGTACGCTTTTGTGAAACACGATCTGAAAGGAGTGTTGCAGAATATAGGGTAGAAATTTGCACTTCCCTCCTCCCCCTCCTTTCACAGATCATGACAGACACTCCCCATCCCTATGACAAACAGGCTCCAGAGACCAACACAAATGGTGACAGGCGGCTTCAAGGAACTATTAGAGGTTAATGTATAACTAACATCTAATTGAAATCTATATATGGTATTTCCTTGTTGAAGTTTTATGTTGTAAGGGTAAGGAATGATGACGAAATATGCCCTAATATACGTGAAAAAAAAACAAGTTTTTAGAGAGTTGGCAACAATGGGTACATCGTGTTTCACAGTTCAATCCCACAGGAATCACGCTAACAGCTTTTGTATACATAATAAAATTTTGAAAATGAATTTTTTAATATTTTTCTTGTTCTTGTCATTATCAAGTGTTAATAAATATTATTGACCTATCAAAAGAATCTTTATCGAAGAGGTTGATATTGAAAGCAATAAATATATAAGAGAGAGAAACCAATGTTTTTTTTTTATAACACTTTCGAGAAATATTCAAAAAATGAATTCAATTTTACGTCTTTAATTTAAAAGTGTTTGTATATAAATAATTAAATAATTGTTTAAATATAATTCAATATAAATTTTCAAGAAAACATAATTTTGAAATTATTTTCTATAGAGAAAAAACAATAACCTTGAGTAATTCAATTATATTGTTTCAAAGAATGGAACGAAAAACATGTTTATGACAATATCTTATGTATATATATTTATAGCATGGAATGTATTCTTAGCCAATCTAGTAAATTGTAGACAATGATACTAGAATAACTAAAGTTTCTTTGATTATTCATCAAACAACAATCGATTAGTAAAGTAAAGAATTTATCAGTTTGTTTTCTTTTTTGTTTATTATAAATATAATAATAATAAATACTTCTATTTATTTGGTTGTCGTCTATTTCTTTAGTATTTTCTTAATATTTATTTATAGTCAAATAGTTATGATTAATCCATATTTAAGAATACATGTTATTACAAGAATTGCAAGAACAAAAAAAAAAAAAAACCAAAAAGAATATAATCAAAGCAAAGTGTCTGCCGAGTATTTCTTACGTTTTTTTTCTCGGACATGCTTGTCATTATATGTAATATGATACAGTTTTTGTTGAATAAGTTTATTTGTAGAACAAACATTTGTCTGTAAAATGAGAAATCGACAATATATGTAAGATGTATGTTTCTATTTTTATTATAATTTTATGAAAAAACTGAGAATCTTATTTTTTTTCAGTGTTTTTTTTTTATAAAATTATAATAAAAACATACATGTTTTAAGTCCGTTAGATTGATCTCGGTTCAGGTCAAATAATTTTGGACCGAACAGACATTAGTTATCGATCAAATGTGTATAATATGCTTGTCATCGACTAGAGAGAAAAAGCATCTCATATCTTCGGAGCGACAGTATTCTATTACGATTAGAAAATTTCATTGTAAGTATAAAGTACGATTCGACTGGGTCCAAATTCGAAAAACTTGAATACAACGAATTGTACGACTTTTATTGGTGTCTGATTTTTTGTTTTCTAGAAAAATATTTACTCTAGACAACATCAAACAGATGAAGAACTTTGCAAGTTCTTTATTTTCATGATTAATTATTTATTTCGCGAGAGAAATTTTTCAGTCTTGTTACATATTCAATTTAAGTTAATCTATCCATGAAAAAATTTTGAAATAATCAAAGTAACATAGAGTAAACTTTAATTTTATATCCTCAGGATATATGTCTTAATTCTTTCTCTCAAATTGACAAAAAGATTATCTAGAAAGAAATTAATTTACACTTGTGATAAAGCTGTAAGAGTAGATAGATAAGATATTATTAATATCTATTGAATAGAAACTTCTAGTAATCTATATAATAAAGATGCTTCTTTTTTTCTGAAACAAAGCCATAGAGTAGAATTACTTAACAACATTTAAAAAGTACGTACTGATAATTTCCCGTATGTCAAATAGATATTATTTTATTTTTTGTATGGCTTTTGTTAAGAGTAAATTTCTAAGTTAATCCTTTCGAAGATGAATCATGTAACATAATACATGATTCTAAAATTTTTATAGAAATAAACGTCATTCAATTAATTAAAATAGATACCTGGATTTTTTTGTTTTTTTCTTCCTTTTTTTGGAATCCTCATTTTTTTCTTCTTCTTGTCTGTCTTTGAAGTATGAACAAGTATTACAATTATAATAGTTAGTATTTTTAAATGATAACTAATTCTGACACTTCAGCTTTATTTCTTTTTTATAGAAAAAAAAAAACAAAGAAGTCTGTCTTGAACAGGGTTAAGCATCTTTTTATAATTACGTATGAGGTATAAATTAAAGCTTTTCTAAATCGGATTATTTTATATGATATTATAAAATTTAAAAAAAAAAATTTCGTATATATTCTTTTGATAGCAGAATAAAGCTATAAGAAAAAAAAAGTAATCTTATCTTTTTCTTATATAGTTAATTTGAGTTTCATAAGAAATAAAAACGATGAGATCCTCTTCTTCTTCTTTTTTTTTTCTTTGTAAAATTAGATTTAGAACATTGAGTTTATGAATACAGATAATTGCCTATTCTTGATGATCATTGAATTACTTATCGACACATTTTTAATATCCTACTCAACATCATCTCGAGTATCTGTCGTCTTTCTTCTCCCATACACTGTGACATAATGTATCGTATGTGTGTGTGTGTGTTCATAGAGTAAAAGAGAAAAGAAAGAGAGTCCTTGTCTACACCAAGTGGTCAATTGTATATGTATGTGAATGACATCAAATTCTTCTCTTTTTCTTCTATCAGATGCAGATATATATTTATATTGATCTGCCGTTGTCTTTTCCAGACTAGATGTTGCTTTTAATTTCTCTTTTGAGATATTAACAACTGTTAGGCAATTCAACCAATCTTTACATGTATGTGTTGCTAAAGGACACATCGATGTTGATGGAATGGGAAGGATGCGTGTTACACACTTTTCCGAAATAATTTCCGATTTTTTCCTTTTTCTTTCTCTCATTCACATGAGACTGATACAGCACACACACACACATTCTTGATGATCGATGATGCACAGCAAGAAACATGAGTAATATTATATCAAGTAGTAGTGAACATAGCCGAGTCTTATCGCAATATGTGTGTGTGTGTGTGGGGTGCTGTGTCTATTGTGTTTGTTCTTGTGTGTGTGTGTGCACACGCGTGCATACTGTCATCGCGATCGATCTCACTGAGCTAATATTAATTTTATGAGAAAAATAATAGATGTCTGTCTTGTCAACTATTGCGTTGTTAATTGAGATTGTGTTAAAATCATATTTGGAAGTCTCATTGCACAAATTATTGTAAATGATTTTGTTTGAATACAGATAAAAAAAATTGGAAAAAAAGCCTCATATATTGATTCGCATGTTCCTTTTTTTTCCATTTTCTTTTCTTTGTCCCTCTTTCTCTCTCTCTCTCTCTCTTCTTTTCTTTCTTTCGCTTCATTGCTCACATTCAACAATAAGAACATAAGATGAGAATCTACTAGAGTCTGATCAATGTTCTTATTCGCATTGACAACGTTGTTATGCATGTCATTGTCTTATTCTTTTCGCACTTGGAACATCTAATCCGGTGAGATTACTATATACCTCCCATGAGACAACAGTGAAAGACGATGATGAATCTTCTTCTTCGTCATCGTCTTGAATAACCAACCTTACAACTAATAATGCTACTACTAGGGTGTGGTTACTTCCGAGCATCTGATTTCAGATCCTCTTTAATTTTTTGCTATGCCTTCTGTCAATGATTATGCATTGGTTCATTTCCTTTCTTCGTCGCTCAATATCCCTGTATTATACAGCCGTGTTTGCTTAGTCGGTAAACGATGTCTATAGTCTCTCTTATGCTGCTACCTCTATTATTCATTTCTCGATTTCCTTCGTCTCTCTTTCACATCATTCTATTTTAATACGAAGATCGTAGTTGTGTGCTTCCGCCCGTTAAACTTTTCTATAGTATGATTACCCGTTGCGTATGTTATTCTAAAAAAAGTGCACACACACGCGTGCACGTATGACTACCGTCTGAATGACTAGAAAAATTGAATCTTATCGTTATATGTGCTCTTTGTCGCTTTTCTCACCTCTTCATTATTCATTCATTTACACCCTCTAAAAGAGAAATGTATAAGGGCATTGTCCACGGGAAACCACTCGACGACACACGTTACTGGAGAGAATGTGAACGAAACGGAAAAACCGATAAAAAAAGAAAAAAAGAAAAAGAAATAATCTATTGTTAATAGAAATAAGAGATGACAAGTAATATAAGATCATTTTATTTGAAATTTATATTCTAGTTCGTCTTACGACTGTTGAACTTGGTGCTCAACTGTTATCATCATACGATTCAACAATAAGTCATACATCAAATCAAACCGATAAGAATCTTTTACATCAATCATCATCAGCAACTCATATTCCTTTTAATACATTATCATCAAATAGTGAGCATATACGTTTACGTGAAAATCAATTAATACGCCTTACATGTGTTGTAACACGTGCTTTGCCAGCTGCTTATATTCATTTTCCATTTGATATTGAATACCGTGTCGAAAAAAATTCTACGACATTAAACGACGATAAAACTTATCGAACAATAGTTATTTTAATTCTTCGTATTAATCGTCATTTTCATAAACGTATATTTCATTGTGAAGCTATTCAATCAGAAACGATCAATGATGAAAAACAGCAACAACAACAAAATCGAATACTTTCAAAAAAGCTTCATATTGATGTGCTTTGTAAGTATGAGATAAGAAGAAAATAAGCATTTCATTTCTTTTTTTTTCTTTTATTTGCGTTTGAATCATAAATTCTTAATTAACTTTTAAAAGTAAAACTTCATTTCATCTTTATTTTTTCTCGTATGCCAATGAATAAAAGAACGTGTTTAAATGTTGAAAAAAAAAACATGAGTCCTTTTTTTTTCCTCTCGAATGAAACAACAAGATCATATCATGCAAAAGAAAACAGAAACTTATTTGTGTAATCTTAGCACTTTATAGAAAGTAAACAGATGGAATGACTAAAAGCAGACAAACACTTGACTTGTATATGAGATGTCCCTTGGAGCAATGAGCATCCAGTGGTGAAACAAAGAGTGATGATCATCTTGATAAGACCTTATCTTTTTAACCCTGCATACTAAACCTTACAGGAAAAGGAAAGAAGATTGCACTTTTCTTTCTTGTCCATATGACTGTCGTCATCTTCAATTTACGGCATAGCTCCGCCCTATTTTAATTCTATTTTACTTGTCAGACCATTCTTCGTAGAATATTGACCGACGCCGTGCTTCATTCAATTTTAGTCAATCTCTCTTCGCTTTTTTTTTTCTTCTTCTTTTGCTCTATCATATACAACGCCGCTCATTTCTCGCTTGATTGCTTCGCGTACATTCATTCATTTATATATATATATATATATACATTCATCTTTCGTTCGCTTAGTCGATTGGATGAGTAAATGGTGCTACATTCATGGAATATAAGTGTATGTGGGATGAAGAAAAATGCAACCTAAGGGCTAAAATTACTTCGTTCTTTCGTATTATATTGCCAAAAGAGACAAGAATGATGAATATGTCGAATGAAAGAGCATCGAATAAGGTGCATCAATGAGTCTCGTTTTCTTTTTTTCTTTATCTATGATAATCGGAATGTATCGTTTATTAATAATAAATAGAGCAAATGAATAAAATTGTTTTATCTCATTGATAAAAATAAGTTTAAAAAAAGTTCTACTGAACAGATGCTAAATGAAGAGTTTTTTTTTCTATTGATATCTATATATATATATATATATATATATATACATGAGTGTGTGTTAACGTCGTCCAATTTTGCGACCAATTAAAGCTGACACGCCATTAATCAACAGTACTCTAGATGATGTTTCTCTTCTCTTTGCTCATATGCTTTGATATCATCTAAGGTTCTGTTATTAGCTTACATATATATATATATATATTTATGTGCATGTATATGTGGTATCACATCTTTGAACTATCTATTACTAGAAAAAAAGAGATTATGTGTCATGCTTTGCTCTTACTGTGTTTCTCGGCACCGACGCTCACAAGAGACATTGAGAAAGAAAAGAAGGAAAAGATGTTCTCGTCTTTCTTTTCCTTTCATGCTCTTCTCTTATTTGCTAGTCTTTATCGTTAATACCCATACTTTCTAACCATTACTATCATTATCCTGGGATATTTTTCATATAAAAAAAAAATATCATAATAATTACAAGATACATTTGTAAGTCAACTATTTATTACATATACACGTTAAGGTTCATTTATATTTTATATTTTATTAAAAGAAAAAGACTTGAGAATATGAGGTCATCAAAGGGCAAACAAGAAATTATCATATTGATACTGTTGTTTCTCTGCTTGATTGCTGACATTTAAAGACAAAGAAAAAAAAAAGGAAGATGGAAGTAGTAGGCATTTAATATATTTATATAATATATGTAAGGTTAAGTAGCTGACACAATGGCAGTGGTCTTTATTTACTCTATATGGAAATCGAATTGTTTTCTTGAATACTAGGAAAGTGCATAGTCGAACAGGATATTTGTTTGAGAATGAATAAGTAATGAATGTTATGTTTTCTTGTCAGCAGTCAAATCGAATAGGTTAACTTTTAGCTAAAGATATATGTATAAGTTAGCTTCTGTTAATCTTGTCATATACGTATGGACGTCTGGCGGATGTCATTCAAGCGCGTGTTAATATGTCAACAAATCAATCTATCATTAGAATAGAAAAAAAAAAACGAGCAGTTACAAAACGATGAAATAAGTATACTATCCTCATTTTATTGTTTCTATAGATGGTCCAACATGTTCTCATAAAATTCAATATGCACCACAGTTTTTTACTGGTATTCATCGTTCAATAAATTTAACTTGTTTTATGAATGATGCTAATCCATCAAAATTAAATTTTACTTGGCTTTTACCAAATGGTCATACACATTTAGGTTATTATATAAATACAACTTCAAGTTATTTAACAATTTTACCAAAACATAGTGAAGATTTTGGACAAGTTATTTGTCGAGCACAAAACGAATTAGGTTTATTTGGTGAATGTCATATTAATATGATCATGGGCGGTAACTATAAAGTATTGTTATTAATTATATATTTATATTTATATATAGGTATACCTGATCCAATTGAATCATGTCATTATACATATGTTAATGCAACATTAACAGTTAGTTGTGTAGCTGGATTTCATCAAGGTGATGAAGATTTTTTTTGTTATATGTCTAAACGACAAGATAATGGTAGTTTTTCTGAACATGCACGATTAAAAGGTTAGAAGACAACAAAAAAAAAGAAAGAAAGAAATTTTTTGTTTCTCATAGGTAATTGTGCATTTATTCTTCCTGATCTTAAACCTGAACGACATCATGATTTTCGTGTATATACAAAAAATAAATTTGGTGATAATTTCGATAGAAGTTATTCAATTACAGTTGGAAAACCAAAAGGTAGAGAAATTTAAATAACTAATAAAAAAAAAAAAAAAAATAGGAAATTTATATAATCTGATAAATCATATTTAGCTGAATCTCTTGCAGAAAAAACTCGAATTTATTTACCATACATGGCAATATGTGTCATAGGTGCATGCCTTATTTCATTATTAATTATATGTTGTTGTTGTCATCAAATACGTCGATATATGTATAAACGAAAAATCAAAGGCAATTTTGACAGTAAGAAAAAGGTTTTTTTATTAAGAATTAATTATGAAATTTAATATTCAGGTCTTACTTATCAAAATCATAATTCACATTCATATGCAAATTCTAATGGCAAACAGTCTTTAGGTAAAACTAGAACAAAAAAAAAAGAAAGAAGATTTGTTTACATTTAATTGTTGTGTCAAGCGAAAAAAAAACAAGAAGAAATTTGAATATAATTGCATTTGACAATACATTAATGCAAGACTTCTATTTTTATTAAAATTCTAAAAGAAATTCCTTAAGGAATATCATAAAATAAGATATTAAAAAAAAATATTTGTTTTAGTCAATTTATCCTGAAATATATATATATAAAAGAATTTCATATAATGAAATTATACATGCATAAATAATTCACATTGATTGATATGACGCTTATTTGTGCGTTTCATTTCCGTCAAGTATTACAATAAGGATAGATAATTCATTTATTCTCGTCTAAATCGTTTGTCAAAAACTGACAGTTATTAAAGACAATCTTGATATATTTTTGATAAAGACCTTATTGATAGATAAAAGATAACATAATCGAGTCTTTTCTATATTAATACTTTATTTACACAAGATATCCTTGAACCTATAGATTAAATTAATTGATTTTTAATTGTATATTTTTTAGTACATTTTAAACAGAATGGCAATGGAACAGCATATCCTGTCCGTCCTCATCGTTCAAAAGATTATTTAATAGGTACTGATTCATCAGCATCAAATCGTACTAATCCTCCATTACGAAGTATATATTCAACAGAAGATGAATTAATATCATCCAGAAGAAATACATTAAAAGAAACTGATCTTGATCAATTACTTAGTTCAAGTAATACGACAGGATCATCTGCAACAGCAACAATTAAATCTTTACCATTAACTCGTAATCGTCCATTATTTGCTGCATTTAATCCTCAACAACAACAAGATGAATCAAATCCATATCCATTAACAATACAACGTCGTTCAAGTTTTCAAGCAGCAACAAAATTAAATAGTTTTGATTTTTATAAATCTCAAGAACCATTCTATTTAATTGATAGACAATCAATGAAAATGACTCAACGTAATAATTATTCACCTGAACGTGATTTACGTGAACGCGAACATTATCGTGAAAAACGTCGTGAATATTCTCCGAATTCAAAAGATGAAAATTTAATTGATATTAATAGACAAAATTTACTTGATACAACACGTAGTCGAGAAAATAGTTTTATTGTTGAAAATCGTATGTTAACGAAAACAACAACAACAATACCAAAAATAACAGAAGATCGTTTAAGTTTAAATAGCTCAAGTAATGATCAACAATGGCGTGAAATGAATGTTGTCGATGAAATTGATTATCATGATCGTTATAGTGATACAAATGATAATGAACGACAAGATTTAAAAGAAACAAGTGAAGATAATAATCGTTTTCATATAAATGATGATTATCGAGATCGACAAAGTTTAGATCAAATATCAATTGATTATCAACGTCATGATGATGCAACATTTGTTAATTATGATCGCGATAATGATCGATATCGTGATGATGGTATTTTTGTGTGAAATTAATTCATCTTGATTTTCTTATCTCTATTATTTGTACATGAAAACAAAACATTAAAAACAAAATCGTCCTTCTTTTCTTTTTCGTTTTTTTTTATATATGTTGTTTGTTTTGTTTTTCTTCTGCAAATTTTTATAATTAAGAAATATTTCGACAAAGAAAAAAAAAATTTATAATTGTACAAAATAATATTCATAAAATCAAAAATGAAAGAATATTTAATTGGTAATTGATAAACATTTTTGTTTATCTTATACATTTCGAAATAGAATATTATTATATTCTATTGAATTTAAAATATAAATAAGCAAAAATATTCTATTTTTTGTGGAAAACATCTAATGTTGAAAAACAAAATGTTCTCTATATTCCAGAACAAAAATTTATTGATTATACATATGTATATTAGAAAGAAAGAATAACATTTCTGAAACACAGATATATCGAACAATATATAAAAAAATAAATCATGTTCTACGATATTTAGTTGCAACATATTCCATAAAAACAACGTATGAAAAACTAATTAGGATATCAATAACAGTGACATTAGTCTTGTTGATTTTTTTTTTAATGATATAATTGAAAGCATGATTGACGAGGAAATCTTGTTAAGTGATAAATAATGTATTAGAAAAGTTTTGTTGATATTCGAGAAAGTCTAAAAGAATTCATGTTCATGATTGTTTTTTTTTTCGTATTATTAAATGATTTTTTTCAACGAAAGGTCGTGATGCGAAACCAAATGTTTTGGTTTCAGCCTCGGTAACTTCTTTTGTAGTAAACTCATTCAGATCTCAGTAAATCTAATTTGCTCTCGATGATTTGAGTTTGTTTGGTCTGAGTCACATATAAATAAATCTTTCAATAACCATTTTCTTTCTGTAGTTATTTAGTCGACGGCAAATAATTTTTTTTTTCGGCTATCTCTCTTTTGAATTATGTTCTCATTGATATGATTTATAAGATAATTCACTTAAAACTATAGAATATTTAACTATACTCTTTAGTTCCGGTCTCCATCTCGATAACTTCTATTTCTTGTCGTTTCGGTTTCGGTCACCGAGACCTGACTAAAATCGACCATGCACATCTATTATTGTAGCATGCTTTTTTTACATCATAGAATTTCTAATATAGACTACTTCAGAACAGGAAATACATTAAAGTTTGATACTGTTATAATCAACTAGTTTCAGTACAGATCATTTTAACTTTTCTCAAAGTTTAATAGAATTGATTGAATTAAAAAAAAAACTTATCATAGAAAAGAGATTTATTACTAAATGAATTTTTTTTTTGTAAATATACGTAAAAGATTATAAACAAATACTCTTAATAGATGTATTATACTTTATTAGAAGTGTAATATCGTTACAAAAAGAATGGAATATTACATTAAAGTATAAAATCGGGATAGACTATAGTTCTGAATTAAACTTTTCAGAGTTTTTATTTCTAGAAAAAAAAATTTTTTTTTTCAATCGTATTTGTTTGTCATTAATCTGTTTTGATTAACATTCATCAAGAAAAAAATTCGTTTTTATAATGCTAAATTTATTTTTCTTGAAACTTAACGAAGTATATAGAAAGATAAGTTTTATCATAAGTTGAAAAATGATTGAAATCAGATGTTTTTCTTTAAACTCAAATCAATCATAACATCTTGTAGTTACATGAGAAAAATATCACGCTTCTGAAATATTCATTAATAGACGCTGTGACATGCAATAGGTTTTTTTGTTGTGAAATATCACGGTCCTTTTAAGATACTCTTTCTTATATATCTAAACATGTTATATCGATTTTCGAACAATAATAACCTTTTGAAAGTATTTTAAATAATTATACATATTTTAATATGAATATATGATTATTGTTTATCTTCATTTAAAAGTCAATAGTAGGATTAATCAAACTTATTTGACTTGATATCTATATTTTATAAGCAATACTAATATCTTTCGGAAATACTGTTAGAAATAATTAATAATTTAATTAAAATTTATTTCGATTTTTTTTAATGTGTATAAGAGTTTTAAGCATCATACTTGTTTAAATTGAATATTTATTCAGAAATTTTTCATGCAAATAGAGTTAGTATTCTTTTATTGAAGACTAATACTTTTGACGACTATTTGAATGTACTCATTATGTCAGAAAGAGTAAAACTTATTTATTTTGGTTCTGATTAATCTCAAATCAGTAACTACTATCTCTTGTACGGTTTCAATCTTTATCTTATTTGCAAAAACAAAAATAATATAAAGAACTATATTGACTATTTATGTAAATATTTTCCAATATTTAGTTAAGATAAAGATAATATGTTGTTGAACAAGATTGATTACTAAGTTATATTAGTAAAATATAATTTTTGAGCTTATTAATAATGTTTAAAATTTTTAATAGGTATAAATTTTAATGCATAAGTAGCACTAATCAATTCTCATTCAATACTTATGTTGATAATTTATTTACTATTTCCTTTCGTTTATTCAATAAACAGAAAAAGAAAGAATTCAAAGAGAAAAAAAAACTTGATCTGATGTACTTTACTATAAATTCTAATATGTTTTGATTATTTAAAGAAAATAAAAAATATAACGAAAAACAATATGGATGATTTATCTTTAATTTTTCATTTTCTTGTTATTCAAATGAATATTTGCTTTCAGTGTGAAGATTGTTTTTATTTTGTCTTCTTTTAAGTTTATCAATCGGCTAGTTTACGATTGTTTCTTTTTTTTTTTTTTGTACATGAATTAATAATGAAATTAAACATGATAATATAGGAAAAGTTTTCTAAAGATTCTTTTTGTTTTTGTGTTCAGAAGATGTCAAACATAAATTTGACTTTAGATTTATAATGAAAAGCAGATATGCCATAAGGTCAAAAATTTCTCTCATTAATTCTCGACTACAACAAATAAGTCTATTAATTTTTTCCACTCCATAAACTTATCTGCATGAATACCTACAAAACTATAAGTAAATGAATTTTCTATTATCGTTTTGTATACGATAGAATTTTATCGTTCCGATTAGTTTTTTTTTTCTTTTATTTCTGTACGATCAGTTGAAATTTTATAAGTCACTTAACAAATATAATTTTCTTATAGGTCAAACATGAATGAAGAACTTGGAAATAAATTTATATGATTTCATTACTAGTAATGCGAATCGCAGGACATAAAATTTGAATTTTATAATTAGAAAAAAAAGAAAAGAATGAAATATTTTCTTCGTTTTTTTTTGTTTTGTCAATATTGGTTATAACATAAATGAGATTGTCAATTTTAATGTATTAATATTTCAACTTTTGATATCTTTTTACTTCTATTGAGAAGATGATTCATTAAAAGTAAATGATCAAATATATTTTGTATCTAATGTAAAAGAAAATCCTTTAAAAAAACAAATTTCTATTTTTCATTTATTTTCTATTTATTGGATTTTATCGAAAGAATTTTTTGCATATATTTTTTTTTCTCATCTATCATTGACAAAAGTCGGTCACTATGAAGTTACCTCAGTCTATTGTATTTACTCGACTTTAACATGAAGACCTAGAAAAACATGCTAATCTCCTATTTATTAAGTGAACAAATTTCATTTAACGAAGAAAAACAATGAACAAATAATATGTGTTTTGTCATGTTATAAAAGTATCCAATATAATAAAATCGCATTTTTGCATTTTTTTGTTTATCATTATTTCAGCATAAGTAAGTTTTAAAAATCATGCATCGGTCGTTTGCGTCGATAAATACACATACTTACAGTTAAATTCACATGGATACGGCTTTCTTTTTTGTCATAACCGAACGTAAAAAAAATAAAAAAAAAAGGCGAAGGAGGGAGGAGGGAAACAGAGAGAGAGAGAGAGAGAGAAAGAGAAAAAAAAGCCATCGATAAAAATATTGAACAATATTATTATCGGACGGATTCGATAGAAGCAACAAGAAAGAAACAATTAAAAAAGCTCTTGTCGATCATTCTTTTTGTTGGGTTTATTTTGACATAATCAAATACAAGTAAATAAGAATAACAAAAAATGAATCGAGGACAGTAAGAATATCTTCAAGTTCTTAAAAGTTTTTATTCTCTTATTCTTATTTAGTAATCCAACCGTTCATCCAGCTGTTGTTAAACAACAATATGATCCACATAATGTATGGGATTTTGAAAATCAATGGCGTTCGGAATTATTTTCTTGCAAACCAACGGGTCAATGTAAGATGAAAAATATTTTTATCATTTAAAATTTTATTTTAGTCTTGTTGTATTTTTTTCTTTTTATAAATTTAGGCTGTTTCGCCTGTTTCTGTTGCTGTTGTATGGGATGCAAAGTGGCTAAATATTTAGGAGAATCACAAGTCCTTGGTTGTTTTCCATGTTCATTACAATATTTTCGAACAAAACTGCGAACAGCAAGACGCATTGATGTTTGTAGACATTATTAAAAAAAAAAGTGAATATTTGTTTAAATTAAATTGATTTCTAGGGTGGCTGTTGTGGTGATTTTTGCGCATCAAATTGTTGCCCAGCATGTACGGCAAATCAAATGGCAAATGAACTTGAATCTCAAGGATTATGGGATCCACCAAAAACAAGAAAAACTCATCCTCGAAATGATCGTTCAAACCGTCGTAATAGTGGCGATTATCAATAAACTAAAAATATATTTTGACACTTGAATATTCCACTTTCCTTTTTTTTTTTTTACAGATGTCTGTATAATCATATACACATATGAATAAAAAAAAAAAAAGAAACAAATTCAACTATATATTCGATTTTGTTTGCTTTTGAAGTCAACAATGAAAAGTATGATCTTATTGGCTGTCATTGTAATCATTCCATTCAATTCTTTCCATAGTAACGAAAGTGGCTTTTTTTTTCTGTTAATAATAAATGAGACATAACCAAAATGAAAACGATTGTTGTTGTTTGTAGTGAAATACTTATGTACAGATTTTTGTTTCTAAAAAAAACAAGTTCATTGTTTGTCTTTCTCAATCTTGTGTTACTTATTTCTTTCGTTTCTTTCTTTTATCTTTACCATTTTTACTCGTGCCATTGAAGTAACCAAACGATTATATGTGTTATTACCTTGACAACAATTTTACTTTATGTTCATCGATCAATTTAAAAGAATCATAAACGTTCATACAGTAAAGTCAATTGAAAATTTTACAATAGTCAATATTTATTAAATACAAAAAAAAAACCAATGACAAAGTAAAGGTTTTATTTTTTCTATTTACTTATTTATCAAATTTTCAAAGTCGTAATACTAGTCAACCAATTGTTATTCAACCAGGTACTTCATATGAATTTTATACATTTGATAATAATTGGCAAAAAACAATTTTTGGTTCATTTACACCATGTCCACGATGTGTGTGTATTTTATTTTCAAGACAATAAATTTTAATTGATCATATTTTTCTTTTTTTAGCGGCATTTGCTTTTTTTTGTAATCCATGTTATATAGCTAAATTAAATGATCGTACTGGTGAACATTTTCTAACTTGTTGTATTAATCCATGTTCATTAATGGTATTACGTACAAAAGTTCGAACAGCTTTTCATATTCGAGTAAATAAAAGAATATTTTATATTTCATATATTCTTTATTTTTAGGGTAGTTTAGCAGAAGATTGTTATACAACATGTTGTTGTCTATATTCATGTGCTACAATGCAAATAGAAAAAGAACTTGATCATCAAAGTATTCCTAAGTAAAAAAATGCTACATAGATAATGTTATTTATTTATATAATTGTTAATTATTTTTTTTTTATAAAATGTGCTTGTAATTGTTGCTTATGTAAATGAATTCTATTTTTGGATCTATCATCAAATAAAATAATACTAAACATGGATGATATGTATACACATGAACTTAACTGTATAGTTTGAAATGAATAAATTATTATAACAGTGATCTTCTCGTATTGTTTTTTTTTTTTTGAGAAACTCACATATTTGATGATAAAAAAAAGGGAAGTGCAAGGTTACCTAGCACACCTCACTTTCCGGTCATAGTAACGTAGGGTCAATTAATGTCAATGACCACTGGATATGTTTCTATTTGCAACCAAAGACAACAGTCATTCTTTTTCGAAACGAAAACAAAGATCACCAGACAGTAATACTTAGACCGTTCAAGAATATTTCAAAGCCTAACTTGTAATGACTTGAATAAATCTTTGAGTGGCCTAAATATTGTAGTTTATAATTTTTGCACAGATAGCCGATTATATTCAAGATATCAAAATTAATAATTTGTGATATTTTGATTTGCTACAATCCTTTATATGGTCAATGTTAAAAGTATGAATTAATCAAGTTGTAATTTTCAAGAATAATTAATATTAATGTTTCCGAGATTATATCGAAATACATAATGGTGCGTTTAGATCTGTGGTAGGTATCATAGATGCATATAATACGCTTATTTCGTCAGTTAAATCAATGGTTAGAATAATAAAAACAATAGCAATTTAAGAAAAACAAACGAAAAAATAAAAATAAAAAACGAACGAGCGACTAGTAATAAAACAAATAAAAAATAGAACTCAAAGTAAAAAATTAAAATAGAAAAACTTCTGTTTAAAATACAGAAATAAATAAGACAATCGTGTCTTTGACAACCGATTATTCTTCGAACGAAACTACTACTAAATATTATTAAAAAGATATGTGATTTTCATAATTTAACCTTCAATGGTGTTGTACTAATGAGTAATTTTTTTTACTAAACGAACATTGCTTATTCTTGAGAGAGAAAGATAAAATTAATATTGTACAAAGTAGTATATTTTGAAACAAAAAAAAAAAGAAGAAGAAAACATCAACTATTTGTTTGATTGAACAACTCTATTTAAAATAAACGAAATATTATTTATCGAATTTTCTGATAAAAATATTGAATCAAGATCAAACATTTCTATATTGATGATTTCATTTTATTATGCATAGCCTTCTGTATTTTAATTCGTTTAAACTGATCTAAAAGTTTTTCTATTGTTATATAACATGTAAACAAAATAGACTTTCAATTTTACTTTGAAGATCTTTCTTTTGAGCAAATCTCATTGTATGCTTAAATTTTGTTCATTTTAAGTGTGTCAATAACTAACTAATGGAATTAATCGTGCTTGTCTTATTCCATAGCAGCACGAGTAAATGTAAAAAAGAATTGCTGTACTTTTTGACAATTTTTAAACAATTATATTAAAGAGAGAAAAAAATGTTTCCTACACCTTCACCGTGTGTATTTTAGAATAAATTAATAAAATTAAAATAAAATTTTTTATTTAGTATTGTCGTACAAACAAAACCAGGTGATGATGTTTGGGCATTTGAAAATTGGTGGACACAATCATTACATCAATGTTGTGAAAATACAGAAAGTTGTAAGTGAAAAAATTTTAGCCAATACTCTTAATGTTTTTTTTTTTTTGTGTTGGTCTTAGGTTGTCTCGTATTTTGGTGTTGTCCATGTACATTATACAAAATCTATGATCGTGCTGATGAAGATTTACTAACATGTTGTTGGCCAATGACTTTATGGCCATTACGTACTAAAATTCGAACTTTATTTCGAATACGAGTATGTTATATTGACGAAAAATAAAAGCCAAAAAAGAAAATGTTTAACATATTTTCTTCAATAGGGTTCTATATGTGGTGATTGTTTAGCTGTTTACTGTTGTCCATGTTGTGCATTAATTCAAATGCACCGTGAATTAACACAGCAAGGATTATAAAAAAAAGAAAAAGACATTTTAATATAATATACACAGCAATCAAAAAAAAAAAGTATTAAATAAAAAATACAAAGCAAGTTCTTTTTTTTTTTAAATTTCAGTTTCTTGTTTAATTGTTAAAGTTGATGGTGAATTTATTTTTGGAGGTGATGGTGATCTTGTATTAAGTATTGTTTCAATTTCAGTTCTCATAAATGCCCATGGTACATTTGTTGAACCAACTAATGGACATTTTAAACCACTTGGACAATAAATTTCTTTTTCACCTGTTTGTTTTTTAATAAAATTTTTACAACATAAAAAACAATAACGATGTTCAGATATTGATGGACATTGTACAAAATGTGTATCTTCAAGTGCTTGATGACATTCACTACATTGAAGAATTAATAATGGTATTGATGTTGGTAGACTTTCATTTATTTGTTGATGTGTACGTAAACGTTTTGATAAACGATATTTATTAATTGAATTTATATCATTATCATTATGTTTACGTTTTGATATTGTTTGACGTATAGATGGTAATTTTGTTTGTTTTAAATCAAGATAAATTTCAGGTAAAAGATTTTTATTTGGTAATTCTTTAAATGAACGTACACGTTCATGAAGTAAATCATTTAATAAATGCCAATTATTTATTGTTTCATCTGTTGTTGTTGATTTTATTCTATATTCCAGTGCTTTATAAGGATTTTTTATTGATTGATTATCATCAGTTGATGGAGATTGTTTAACATCAGCATTCATTTGTCGATATAATGAATTAATATTAGCATGTACATTACTTGAACCAATAGGATATTCACTAAATATACGTAATTCATATTCATTTGAACCACCCGTTGATGTATGTCGTTGATGAGAATCAAAAAGAAATAAACGTGCTTGAATAGTTGGATCCCGTTTAAGGCGTATATCAAATGGAGTTGATGATGTTAATAAACGTAAACTATCTTTAACTAATTCAGGTAATGAAAGATCATCAGGTTCTTGTGTTGATGTTGCTTCATTTGATGGAGATGATGATGATGATAAATATGATGGACGATTATTAAATGATGTTGATATACGATGTTGTCCATTTGATAAAGATTTATATGGATAAGGTATACCATTTGTTGGAAGAAATGAAGTTGAAATTGGTAAAAGTGTTTTTGATGATGTAAAATTATTTGATCGATCAATTAATGATGTACGTCGAAGCATACGAGCATTTTCAAGAATGGTTTCAATACGATCGGCACCTAAAAGAAATTTTTTTTTCTCCGAAATTCTTTTTTTTTCTTTATCTCATGAAAAATCAAAAGAAAAAAGAGAAAACAGAATATATATGTTTACCTTCATAATTTACACAACCACGACAAACAGTTTCAGAAAAATCATAAATCATTGCCCAAGGTGTACGAGGTAGATCACATAGATAACAATGTTGTCGATTCAATCGATACATCTTTGAATTAATCAAAGAATAAACGTAGTCTTTTTCTCTTGAGTATGATGATGAGTGAATAGAAAGAACTTGCTTCTCTATGTTTCATCGCATCTCTCTCTCTCTCTTTTCGCTCTATGTGTGCGTGTGTGAATGCATGCTTGCACGCACCGCTGTAATCATGCGAATGCGCACACGCGGACATATCCGTATACGTGCTGTGATGGTGATGGCGTGCTCAAACAGAATTTGATTTCGACGCTCTTGCTCGTTCGCATGTGCGTGATCTTCATTCACATATATACACAGGAGAAGACGAAGAAGAGAAAAAAAGAAGAAGTTGACTGAGCAACATAGAGTGTAGAGTAAAGAAGAGCAAATAAATATATGTAGACGTGTTTGGAATCAACATTTGAAGATTTTGTAGCTATAGCACGTTGCATCACAGATGAGAGAAAAAGAAAGGCTAATGATATGGACAATTTTTTAACAAACAAGTCACGTTCAATTCTCGGAGGCATTTTCGAATAATAAATTTTCTTCTTTTTTTTTTTCATGTTGTCTATTGAACATAATCTTCGAATGATATGAACATTGATGAATTAGACTATGTTTGCAAATACTTGATGTGCTTTTAAATATATATATACAAATATATTCTATTGAAAAATGATGATAGTTTTTGTTCAATCAATGAATAAAACTTTGCAAGAAAATATATTCATGCACGAAAAAAGAATCTAATGGTTGACGGATTGTTTTATATTCATACAAGCATCGAATGTGCATGTTGACACGCAAAGTTCGCCGTCACTTAGCATCGTCTTGTTCTCCATCTTTCTATGTATATGCATTAGGTGACACGCGAATAGTTAGCTATTGAGAGTTATCGTAGACATCGTTGTCGCTTGTCACGATTTGAATATAATTGTCGAATGGTTTTGGACGGAAAGGCAAAACAGAAAAAAGAATAAATCAAAAAAAAAAATACGTGCTTTGTAACTATACGATAGACTCTCTTGTAGCTATGAGTTATGAATAGTAATTATTTGAAGAAAATTTAAAAAAAAAGCACTAAAAATGATCAATACGGTCAATTGGAAGAACTAGAAAGAAAGAAAAAACAACGAGTGTGAATATTATTAGTCAAAAATAAATTTTAAAATATTTCGAAATTTTAACATTTTAAATCTTATATTTTCTTTGGTTTTGTATGCAAAAAAATTGCATTTCGACGGAAAAACTAATTCAAATATGCTTATTTTTTCGAAGAGATCTGAAAAGAAGTATTCTGTCAAAAAAAAAAAATGAATAGTCAATCTTCACTATGATTTTTGTTAACTGAAGGAGTTGATATAATTGTTTATATAAACTAAAAAAATCAGTTCTAGAAAGTGACGTTTTAACCAAGATATTGGTTTTGTTTTCACGAATTTTCAAGAAATTCAAACTGTTATCGGTAAAATAATTCGTTTTAAAGTAAAGATTACATTCTATCTAACAAAAAACGAGCTTCTTCTCATGTTCTGTTCGACTGCAGTTGAGTTTGACATTTATCCACGACATTTTGTCACATCCGTTACATTTCGCATCAAAGTTACAACTCTCGACGTTAATGTTTGTTAAAGTTGTTTAAGATGGTGTGAGTGTCTGAGAAGATTCTCTTCATTGAACCCACAAATTCTACTTAGATAGGAGTGGGAGAAGAACCAAAACACTCCCACATCCTTTGTTGAACATCATTGTTTTCATCATATATTGAGAGAAACGATATAATTGGTTATAGGTTTTCTAGTGTGACTAGAGAACAGCTAGAGTTACAGAACTACACCGAATGTAATGAGTTGTTATATTGGCTATATTGAGTAAAACGGAAATATTGATATAATTACGATTAAATGACATAAAGTTTATGCAGTTTTACCCACTTTGTTTGTCATGATCATTGAGAATAGAAAAATAACTGTTATCAACGTTTTTTTCTAATAACTAAACACACTTATAACTATTAAATAACACTAAATAGTTGAAAGCATGATGCATAACACTTCAGCTATAACCAAAAAGAATCATAAATAAATCCCAAACTTGACTAATTAGCACATTTGTGTCGAGTTTATTTCGAGAATGAAAGAATATTTATTTATGAGTTTTTCATTATATCTTGAGAAATACATAAGTGTACAAAAGGATTCGAAATAGTAAGAGTCATGATGCTTATATCACTATGATTATAACCTAGGACACAGGTATACGTCTGATTCTTATCTTCTTCCACACTTTACACTCATAGACATCCTTTCAACAAACTAATACATTCCATAGCAAGTAGTATATGTCAAATGTTTGATTTTTATAAAACTGTTTTTTTTTAAAGACAAAATATTTTCAATCTTTATTACAAGATAAAATGGAAAAGTGCACAGACCAATTTGTAGAACAAGTTTTCTTCTTGAAAAATGAGATATTAAAAATTGTTTTACATTTTTCATTAAGTAGGTTTTAGTTGAACTACAAAATTAGATAGAATAAAATCTTGTTCAGATATGATTTTATATCCTTTGAGAAATTTGCTTTTAATTGACGAGGATTACTCATTAGAAGAAAATTCTGAAAATATATTTGAAAAGAACATAAAATTTTGATTCCGATTTCTGAAAGGGTTTTGCAAACTTTATACTAAAATACGTAATATTAGTGCCTGTAGCATTTTTTCAATAGAAAAAGAAATTAATCAAAAACATCAAGTAGTATAACATTGAACGAATTAGCTACTGAGAATATTTAATTGACAGAAATTATAAAGAATTAAATTTCAATGTTGAAAATTAATTTAGTATATCAATTCCAAAATATCAAGATATTAAATTGAAAAATCAGAACATCTTTTTTTTTTTATTTTTCTCACAGTCAACATATTCAACATGTTTTTATTTTAGGCTATAGATTTTTAAGATCTTTCTATTACTATAACAGGATTATCATAAGTTTGTTGCTCATTGGAATAAACAAAAATATCTATGTGATGATTTTCATGTTCTCTTTCTTCTTTAATTTAATTTCGTTTATATTTAATAGATTTATTTTCTGTTTATTCAATTAATTAATGATAGAAGATTTTATAATTCTTTTTAAATGAAATTTTTCACTCGGCTATAAAGAAAAGTCTGCATACCGAAATTTATTAAAACATTTTAAAGTTGTTTATTTAATAATAGTAAAATTTGATTGAATATAATTTTTTTTTGATTAAAAAATCTTTCAACCCCTGAAAGTCGAAAATAAACAATAAAATCAATGAAAATTTTCATTTTTATTGACAAAGAATACATAATTCAAGCATTTTTACAAAATGTAAACAAGATTGTTTATCATTTTAAATAATGAAATCCTTTCATCAATAATTATTGATGAGATATATTTTTATTAATAATTAAAATATTTTGATCAATTAATACATGCATATATAAAAAAGAACAACTAATTAATTTTTTGGAAATGAGACAAACAAAAAGCCGTTGTTCGTTCTATACATGTTATTTGTCGTTGTTGATTTTTATTATTAGAATCCAGTAAATAAACATTTTTTGCAACTATATCGGCTGTCCCAAAAGTCATAACCACTTAAGAATTGCATATAACTCCCTTATTAATCAAGCTTAATCTAAAAAATTTTTATTTATTTAGAAGAGAAGAGCAGTAATTTTCTTTTTTTCATAAAGATAAGGTTCATAAATATTCTTCAAAAGTAATACCTTTGACTTCAATACAAAAAGTTGAGATTCTTTACAATTAAAAAAACATCATGGAACACGTTTTATTATATCGGTTTCTATCGTTGTTCGAGTCTTTAAATCACAGAGACTTTTTACGATTGTTTTGTAGACATTTGATTTAGAACAGCATCATAGATAGAAGTCCAATGGTGTCAAGTTTAGTGATCGATGAGTCCAGGATATTGGCCCACTTCTTTCGATTCATCTGTCATGGAAGACTTCGTTCGGTCAGACACGGACTGATTGCAAGAAATGTGCTAGTGCTTTATCTTGTTGAAAGATGATGAAGTTACTCAACCGTTGCTTCTGTAAATTCAGATAAAAGGAATTTTGAAGCCTTACGAAATAATTGTCTTGGATTAGTGTTTGATCATCGATGGCCGGTGAATCGGAAGAAGTGGACGAATATCATGAGCTGCTCGATCAATAAACTTCACACTATTGAACTTCCATCTATGATGCCGTCTCAAACAAAATGTCTACAACACAATCGTAAAAAAATCTCTATGATTTAAAGACTGGAATAACGACAAAAATCGATATAATAAAAATAAAAAGGTTCCATGACGTTTTGCTTAATTGTAAAACATCTTAATTTTTTGTATTAAAGTCAAAGGTATTACTTTTGAAGAATATTTATCTTTATGAAAAAAAAAAAAATTACTGCTCTTCTCTTCCAAATAGAAAAAAAAAAGTTTGCGATTATGCTGCATTGAGAAGGGAGTTATACGCAATTCTTAAGTGACCATGATTTCTGAAACATTCGGTATTCTATGTATTAGACTTTATTTATACTTTTTTCGTATTTGTAATATATCTAATGAAGTTTATATTTATCTAGAAGATATTAAATAACATGAAATTCTATCAATAAAAATGAATATTTTTTTATTCAATATTATTACAATTTAGTCAAAGACAATTTATTTATACTAAGATTTATTGAAGATCAGCTAATTGATTTGTTGATATTATTATACAAATATCATTGATGAAATCTTGAGCTTGATTAGTAGTTTGAATCAGATTATTTTTAAGAATAGATTCATTATCATGGAATTAGAATGAAAAGATTAAATAACTTGTTGTAAGAGAAGATAAATCAATAGGCTAAAAAAGAAAATATTGTACAATTTATGAGATTTTCAGGATTTTGTTATCAATAAACATATATGTGATAGAATTTAATGAATTAATTTTCTTTCTAAAACAAAATTGTATTAATACGTGCGATTTAGTAATAAGAAAATTCGAATTATATTTTATTCCGTTTTCATTAATAGAACATGAGTGATTATCCTATTCTATTGTTTATTTGAATACAAAGGTTACTGATTACTAATTTCGTACCGAAAAAAAAATTGAATAATTTGTAATACTTGCCTTCGTTGTTTTTTCCATGAAACTGACTAAAAATGTTTGCACGCCTTGATTTACAATGACTCGACAGTAATTATTTGTGAGAATAGGTCTGTTCATCATACTATAATAGTTATTTTTAACAGGTCTAACTGCTAATGATTCTGGCGATTTATGCAAGTACAATATCCGAATTCTATCGTTACTGGTATAGAAAGTCATTCATTATGGACAGTCAGTCTAGTTAAAGAGTTTTAGAGATTCATGGGAGACATGTAGGATATCTTAGATCATGATTGGAGCATTTTCTAAATGGATTCGTTAAAACAGTGAACCCAACAACAACAAAAATAGTAGAAATCGACGAGGTCTACCTAATGCACTAGAAATACCGAACGATTTAACCCATTACGGATCGCGATTCGCCAGAAGAGTGAACCAAGCGACGAAATCGATGAACTAAGATAGACCTTGATGAGCTCTATCCAATGAATACTCTATTTGGCAGATTGCATACTCCCATCCTATAGAAAATTGCTAGGAGCCATCAGAATTTCCAGGTTTTTGCAAGAATCTGTGGAGATGCACTCAAAGAGTGGGCCAAGCCACAAAAACGGGGGACTAAGATAGAACTCGAGGAGCTCTATCTAATGGACTTCTTTATCATCGAGTTGGATGTACCAATCCTATGTGAAATTACTAAAAACGCAGACGCTGTATAGTTTTTCACAAAACCCTTGTGGATTTTCATTTGAATGGTTGTGTGACTTACTGAATTGCTAAATATCTTTTTCAAAAAAGTTTCCCAGGCATGATTATATTCTGCAGCAATCCGGTATCATCTTTGTAGAAATGGTATTTCGAACTCAATTTTTTCTATGAAATGATCCCTTCTTAAACAAAAAGCTGGGTGTGGGTGTGGGTGTGGGGTATCAATGAAGAGATGATCAACACTCCACACGCACACCCCAACAGAACGGAACAAAAGAATAATCTTCCTTCGTAGGGAATCGAACCATGAATCTTCTGCTTTTCTGGCAGCTATACTACCACCGTATTAGAAAGGAGTGTTTATTATTCGTTTTGTTCCGTCTTATTACTGAAGGGAAACACTTCGACCATAACAATTACAGTTTTTATTTAATATTCAACTCTTCGATGCTTCGCCAAATAAAATATAAACTCCCCACTTGCATATAACCCTTGCGCTAATCAGTGTATGTAGTCTGAAGAAGAATCCAGATGAATGATTTAAAAAAAAACATTTATTATAATATGTCGACATACATTGTATACCTTTGTAAAATATACATGAGATATTGGTACTCATACTGCAAAAATGAATACATCCTTTAGTTGAGATGTCGCTGATGATTGGTTGTGATAAAAGAGATTATGTGAAAAATTTATTGCTGTTCAAATAAAGATAGTTTAAATTTTTATGACTTGTTAATTATCAAATTTTATCTATTTAATCAACTGATTGGTTGGACATGGTAGTGATGAATCATGCATTCTGTCTACTGTGTAGCCTCGTTTGTTTTATTTACTGTTCTTATTCAATACTTTTACGATTTCGATGAATGAATTGAATATTGTTGAAAGTTTATTTTACGATTAAAAATAAACACGATTGTCTTCAAAATGAGTTTATTGTTCGGAATATTCTCTTATAGATGGAATCTCGTATAATTGATAAAAGTCATTTGGGTTTCGAAACCACTGGTGAACAAACATCTCGAAGATATAGTCAATCAAAAAATGATATGTAAGTGTTAGTGTAATTTTATTAAAAAATTTCAAATATGTTTTTGATAGATCAAAGAAATATAGAGGAGATAAAGTTTTAGCATTAGTTTTGGCTGGTGGTGCAGGTGGTCGTCTCGATGTTATTACTGAACAACGAGCTAAACCAGTTGTTCCTTTTGGTGGAACTCTTCGTTTAATTGATTTTCCTTTGAGTAATTGTTGTCATTCACGTTTACCTAATGTTTGGCTTATCGAACAATATGAAGTTCATAAACTTAATGAACATTTAGCTAATGGACGTCCATGGGATATGGATAGAACTTATGGAGGTCTTCAAGTATTACCACCTTTTGAAATTTATGATCCGAACAAAAGGACTGATGATAATGATGATCAAAGTATAAGTAAAAATGAAGGTAAGGGATATTTTTAAGTTAGCCTTCGTTGCACGTGTGAGTGTTGATTATCTCACCAACGAATCATATATTCTTTGTATAGTGTGAATTGATGACTGTTTTTTTGTCAAAACCATATTAGATCGTTTTTGTCTGTTCATTCGGATGATGTGAATTTGCCAAAGCGATTAGTAAAAATGTAAGATGAACTGACAAATGGCAACTTGTCAGACATGTAAATAAAAGAACTAGAAAAGAGTCTACCTTCACTAAAGAAGATAAGATAAGATCAACTGCATTATTATGGCAGAAAGTTGAGTTTTAAAGCTTTTAAATTGAGGAACAAAAAGAAAAATTTCTCTTTTTCCTATCTATAAACAAAAGAATATATGAACATATCAGCTTATTTTTACCGTTTTAGACTAAAATGATCGAATCTATGATATTTTTTCCGTTATTATTCAATACTATTATGCAAAAAGTTTCAGACAATCTTATTTTTGATACGATATGCCTTTATATTGGATCTATAGAAATAGACATGTAAATTTGTATAAAAAGAATATTTAGAGGTTTATAGTATATAAATGAATAGTTTAAAAAAAACAAAAATATTGATTTTCTGTGGATGGATTCAGACTGACCTCAGATCAATAACGAAGCATTAATCGATTATGATTAGATTTTGAAAAAATTACTGCTTATGAATGAGATTCTATTTTAAATAAGACTACGCGATATAATACGAGATATTGCGTAGAATATTTTCTAAAAAAAAATTTAACTTGACTCATTCGCCGTGTTCTCATATCTATGAAACATTGAGAAATATCTCAATAGCAGAAAATTTTCTATCATATATATTTTTCATTGGGTACCGTGAATTTTTCTATAGTTAGTCATAATGGACGGCCGAAAATTTTGAGATTAAATGTTCCTTCATTTTTCGATCAATTAGGATGGTTAGCAAGGGACTACAAAATATCGGTTTAAAATTAAAATTTTGTGCTCTTTTCGAATCTAACTTCGAAATTTTTATTAGACTCATATTTTAGGAGTTATGAGCAAAGCTTTGGAAGATGTGAAAACAAAGTGTGCACGAAGAGAGTTGTAGCTAACAAAATCCGTAGACAGAAAATGTGATCGTATCCCGTTTGTAGTGGTTTCCGTGATATTTTTTCGACAATTGTTTGTATCAATTTCGTATTTCTGGCATAGAGATGTCAATTTTGTTCAAGTCTGATTTCTTTTCGTTTGATCCTATCATGTTTTGAATTTTTTTGGATCAGTACCTAGAGACAACAGCTTCTTCTCTGTAAATGATGTCCGATTTTGCATATGTTCTAGTTACAATTTTTTGCACAAAATGATGAACGAGATCGTGCTCTACAAAATGTGTCAAGAATCAAAATTCTCGAAGCAATAGTTCAGAAATAACCGAATGCTTTTTGTGAGTCTGAAAATCAAGGAATCGCGAAAATGTCACTGTGCCTCTTGTGAAAACTTTTATTGTTGGTAAACGTCTTACAGAAAATTAATCATTAAGATCTCATTTCGTCAAAAAATGTTTGTGCTTTATTTTGACGTATCTGTAATGAGTTTTACTCCTAATCTGCACGTTTTTTGCACTGTGAAACCTTATTTTTAGACCTTCCATAAATTCGCTCATAACTTTTTAAGTATGAGTCTAATAAAGAATCTGAAGCTAAGTTCGGAGTGAGCACAAAATTATGATTTGTAACCAATAATTTATAGCAACTGACGGTCATTTTAATCATTCGAAAGATAAAGGAACATTTGATCTCAAAAATTTCGGCTCATCCATTACATTAAATAAGTCGTCATACTTAAGTTAAAAACATTTACAAAGCATTCTTCAAATAATTTGTCAATCTCTGTTCGTAAGACTAGTACGTTCCAAGAAAGATTTTACACATCAAGTTCATAACTTGTTATCGTTAAATTCTTTATCGCCATAAGAATGATATACTATTGATTGTTCAATTAACACTCTAAATTCAGTCATGATAAATGAGAACGTCAATAGTTTCACAAAGTTCTACAGATAAACAAAATATTATGTTGAAATTGATGCTTTAGTTCACTAGAGCATCAAATGAAAAATAGTCTATAATTATGAACAACACTATTTATTCTTTTTACAGCAAGGACCGAAAAAAACATGTACATTTTTATTTTGTTTTATATTTTTGAAGTTTTTTTTTTTTTAATTCTGATTCTAAACTCTAAAGCCATAATCAATTGCTATATTATTTTAACTCATCAAAATGTCGAAATCTACAAATTTAAAGCCTGACGAACGAATAAAAATAATTACAACAGGTATGCGAATTTTGTAAGCTTCGGTGAAATCGAAAAGATTCGCTGTTGAAAACAGGAATATTATGTGATCGTAAAAAAAAACAGATCAGGTCGTCCAATTCATCAATCATTTTCAACCAAAAAAAGATTGATCATGCAATTAATATATGTGAAAATTTAGAAGTTCGACAACATTTAAATGATTCTACAAGAGAACTAAAATGTGCACAAAGTACCTTAAAAAACATATAAAAAAAGCTGTTAGTGCAATTCCTGCTGGATTAGTACGTGAAACACGATGTAGCCGCTGCTGCTAGTCACGTGAATATTGCTTTCTTTGATATACCTTGGGGCCCATTTGCTCATCATTGCTTATTTGACTGTTAGAACTGCAATGAAGAAGCAGCTGATGTATTCTCATCAGATTCTAGTGACATATAACTGCTGATCGTATATCAAAGGGTCTGTGGGGATGGGGGGGGGGGGGGGGGCCCCAACTCTTTCCAAATATCCTTCAACGTTCCGTGAGGATGGGTTTTCCCATAAAAAAGTTANGTGGCTGTGAGGTGGTATGGGTGTTTGTACTAATCATCAGCTAAACCCACTCTCACCAACCAACATCCACACCATAACCCACACTTCACACCTACACTCACACCCACATTCACACTCTGCTTTATGAATTAATTCAGCAAATATGATGACTGGGGCCAGATTGGTCCCAGTGATTGTTTCGTTAAATTCATTGATAACGAAGTCTTGTAATATATTTTGAACTGTATAGATTGACGGAGCAAATATTTCTCTACAAAATGCACAGTTAAACAATATTTTAACAATGAAGTCGATGAAACAGCGCGTAAATCTTTTACCAGGACGGAAAGTTTTTTCGGTGCCGTGCATATCTTTACCCCCATCCCACCCCCACCCTCACCCACACTTCACACACTCTCAACCACGCCTCACACCCACATACAGCCAGATTCTTATCCCAACTGGCACTCACATCCCAGTTTAGTGCTTATCTTTCCCGTGCTGATCGTTCCGGTTCTCTTCCAATCATGTACAAATATTACATACGTACCTGATAATTCCGAGTTACAAGATTGTCTGATATCAAATCATCTTGAGGAACTTAAAAAAATCTCACAGCTTCATGTTCAAAAACGTATTGAATTACTTCATAGTCTCGGATCATTTTATTCAAGAAAAAAAAATTATTCGAAGGCAATTAAATGTCTTGACCATATTCACTCATTCTATACTGAACATTGTTCATCGAATTTATTGATCAACAAGAACTAGCAACTTTGATAGTTGGAATATATTACAGCGAAAGTTGAATCTATTATCGACAAAAGAACTGGATAATGTCTTTAAATAAACTGAATAAAGCACTCAATTTTGCTTTGAAACAAGATACTGACAATACAACTTTATCAGAAATTTACTATACAATGGGTTTAACGTATTCCCATCTTTTCAATATATCAATAGCGATACATAATGTTCAATTAGCCGTTCAGATAGCTAGCAAATATTCCTCCGTTGGCCATCCAAGCCTTCAAAATTTTCTCACCCGATTATCTATATGGAATGTACGAATGCAGCTCATATTACAGTTCTATTTAAACTTGAAACTGAATTCAATATGTTTTATTGAAAATTCATTCAATATCTAGCGTGGTTCTGATCAAACACTAGTAAGAATGATTCGAATCATAATCTAAATAAAAAATTAGAAACTCATGTGGAATGTATCTGAATGATTCATATTTATTCGTCAAAGTTCTGATAGCTTTTCTTCATTTCATAATAGATTTTTCAATAAAATCCCTCATAGATGCAGTTTTGACTGATTTTTGTTATGCGTTCCGTAGGTTTATCAATATCATTATTATACTTTCTGCAGAGTTTTTCATCAATCATAGTTCAATAAAATGGTCGAAAAATCAAGAAAAGCCTTCCGAAATTTCTTTTCGAATGTCATTGAGTCTCTGAACATTAAACAATGAACGGAGTCACGTGCAGAGACCATAGATATCAATGAGTGGATGAAAGGAGAGTAGTTTTCTTTTTGTTCAAATTAAAATTCTGGATGTGAATTCACTTGATGTGCACAATTTGCTTTTTCAACGCACTGCACAGTTATGAAACTTTGATAGCCATCCGTTGTGCTTTTTTCAATGATGAAATTCGAAAGCAGAACGAAACAATTGGATAGCGAAAGAATTATTTTGTTGACAAACTAAACAACAAAGTCAGTGAGTGATGATATCTTATATTATCAGTTCTCTTTCATTTGTTCTTGTTTCTCAAGTATATCTTCACATGGCTACAACAACTGATAAAACTTCCTGTGTTAAATACAACAAACCAAACAATTCTGTTAAATGCGCTGAATATTTCCAAGATTTTTACTTTGATCATATCAATGAACATCGTAATGAATTGAGCGAACAGTTGGGTACAATTGAAGATCCATTCAGTAAGTTCAAAATTGAAGTCGATAAACAAAACAATGATCCATAAATACATAAATTAATGCAACGAATCAATGCATGAGACTTTGAATCGATTGAGAAGGTTCTACAAGTCAAATGAAGCATATCGTGAACTCTCGTCGTATGTCGTCAGATTCGTCAGCAACCTCGATTTTAAACTGAAGCAATTGAAACAAAACATCATTTCAATGAAAAACTTGAAAAATCGAAAG